CCTCTTTGTGTGTCTGGTAGAATTCAGCTGTGAACCCATCTGGACCTGGACTTTTTTTGTGTGGTAGGCTCTTAATTGCTGCCTCGACTTCTGACCTTGTTATTGGTCTATTCATAGTTTCAGCTTCCTCCTGGTTTAGGCTTGGGAGGACACAGGAGTCCAGGAATTTATCCATTTCTTCCAGGTTTACTAGTTTATGTGTATAGAGTTGTTTGTAATATTCTCTGATGATGGTTTGAATTTCTGTGGAATCTGTGGTGATTTCCCCTTTATCATTTTTTATTGCATTTTTTGGTTGTTCTCTCTTTTCTTTTTTATCAATCTGGCTAGTGGTTTGTCTATTTTGTTGATCTTTTCAAAAAACCAGCTCTTGGATTTATTGATTTTTTGAAGGGTTTTTTGTGTCTCTATCTCCTTCAGTTCAGCTCTAATCTTAGTTATTTCTTGACTTCTGCTAGGTTTTGAGGTTTTTTGATCTTGCTCCTCTAGCTCTTTCAATTTTGACAATCGGGTGTCAATTTTGGATTTCTCCATTCTCCTCATATGGCACTTATTGCTATATATTTTCCTCTAGAGACTGCTTTAACTGTGTCCCAGAGATTCTGGCATGTTGTGTCTTCATTCTCATTGGTTTTGAAGAACTTCTTTATTTCTGCCTTCATTTCATTGTTTATCTAGTCAACATTCAAAAGCCAGTTGTTCAGTTTCCATGAAGCTGTGCAGTTCTGAGATAGTTTCTGTATTCTGAGTTCTAACTTGATTGCACTATGGTCTGAGAGACTGTTTGTTATGATTTCGGTTGTTTTGCATTTGCTGAGGAGTGCTTTATTTCCAATTATGTGGTGAATTTTAGAGTAGGTGTGATGTGGTGCTGAGAAGAATGTATATTCTGTGGATTTGGGGTGGAGAGTTCTGTAAATGTCTATCAGGTTTGCTTGCTCCAGGTCTGAGTTCAAGCCCTGGATATCCTTGTTGATTTTCTGTCTGGTTGATCTGTTTATTATTGACAGTGGAGTGTTAAAGTCTCCCACTATTAGTGTGTGGGAGTCCACATCTCCTTGTAAGTCATTAAGAACTTGCCTTATGTATCTGGGTGCTCCTGTATTGGGTCCATATATGTTTAGGATCGTTAGCTCTTCTTGTTGTATTGATCCTTTTACCATTATGTAATGGCCTTCTTTGTCTCTTTTGATCTTTGTTGCTTTAAAGTCTATTTTATCAGAGATGAGAATTGCAACTCCTGCTTTCTTTTGCTTTCCATTTGCATGGTAAATCTTCCTCCATCCCTTTATTTTGAGCCTTTGTGTATCCTTGCATGTAAGATGGGTTTCCTGGATACAGCACACTGATAAGTATTGGTTTTTTATCCAATTTGCCAGTCTGTGTCTTTTGATTGGTGCATTTAGTCCATTCACATTTAGGGTTAATATTATTATGTGTAAATTTGATACTGCCATTTTGATGCTAGCTGGCTGTTTTGCCCGTTAGCTGATGTAGATTCTTCATTATGTTGGTGCTCTTTAGCATTTAGTGTGATTTTGGAATGGCTGGTACTGGTTGTTCCTTTCTATGTGTAGTGCCTCTTTCAGGAGCTCTTGTAAAGCAGGCCTGGTGGTGACAAAATCTCTGAGTACTTGCTTGTTCACAAAGGATTTTATTTTTCCTTCACTTCTGAAGCTCAGTTTGGCTGGATATGAAATTCTTGGTTGAAAGTTCTTTTCTTTAAGGATGTCGAATATTGGCCCCCACTCTCTTCTGGCTTGTAGAGTTTCTGCCGAGAGATCTGCTATGAATCTGATGGGCTTCCCTCTGTGGGTGACCTGACCTTTCTCTCTGGCTGCCCTTAGTATTTTCTCCTTTATTTCAACCCTGGTGAATCTGATGATTATGTGCCTTGGGGTTGCTCTTTTTGCGGAATATCTTTGTGGTGTTTTCTGTATTTCCTGCATTTGAGGGTTGGCCTGCCTTGCTAGGTGGGGGAAATTTTCCTGGATAATGTCCTGAAGAGTATTTTCCATATTGGATTCATTCTCTTCATCCCCTTCTGGTACACCTGTCAAACGTAGGTTAGGTCTTTTCACATAGTCCCACATTTCTTGGAGACTTTGTTCATTCCTTTTTGCACTTTTTTCTCTAATCTTGGTTTCTCATTTTATTTCATTGAGTTGATCTCCGACTTCTGATATTCTTTCTTCTGCTTGGTCAATTCGGCTGTTGAAACTTGTGCATGCTTCGCAAAGTTCTCATATTGTGTTTTTCAGCTCCTTCAATTCATTCATATTCCTCTCTAAGTTATTCATTCTTGTTATCATATCCTCGAATTTTTTTTCAAATCTTTTTTCAAGGTTCTTAGTTTCTTTGCATTGATTTAAAACATGTTCTTTTAGCTCACAAAAGTTTCTCATTATTTACCTTCTGAAGTCTAATTCCATCATTTCATCACAGTCATTCTCCGTCCAGCTTTGTTCCCTTGCTGGTGAGGAGTTTTGGTCCTTTCTAGGAGGCGAGGTATTCTGGTTTTGAGTGTTTTCCTCCTTTTTTCGCTGGTTTCTTCCCATCTTTGTGGATTTATCCACCTGTCGTCTGAGTAGTTGCTGATTTTTCGATTGGGTCTCTGAGTGGACGCCCAGATTGTTGATGATGAAGTATTTCTGTTACTTGGTTTTCCTTCTACCAGTCTAGCCCCTCCACTGTATGACTGCTGAGGTCCACTCCAGGCCCTGCTTGTCTGTGGTGCACCTACAGCGGCTGCAGAACAGTGAGGGATGCTACCAGTTTCTTTTTCTGCTATCTTCGTCCCAGAATGATGCCTGCCAAATGTCAGTCTTCTGGATATAGAGGGGTCAGGGAGCTGGTTGAGGAGACAGTCTGTACTTTATAGGTGCTCAAGTGCTGATCTGTGAGCTCTGTTGTTCATTCAGGGCTGTTAGGCTGCTACATTTAATTCTGCTGCAGCAGAACTCATTAAAAAAAAAACCTTTTTTTCTCAGATGCTCTGTCTCGGGGTTTTGGGGTTTTCTTTATGAGTGTCCGTTGCACTGTCCTGCCCAGCTAGGAGGCAGTCTAGTCACTATTTGCCTGCTGAGGCTCTGCCCTGCTGGTGTGAGGTCGGCCCTGTTGCTGTAGGCTCTGCCCTGCTGCTGCGGTCTCTGCCCTGCTGCCATGCGCTACGCCCTGCGGCGGAGTCTCTCTTTTGTGGCGGGTTACCTTGGCAATGGCAGGCTGCATCAGCAATGGGAGTGTACCTCAGTAGGGGCGGGTTGCCTTGGTAATGGCAAACGCCCCTCCCCCACCGAGCTGCACCCTCCTTGGTTCAGCTGTGCCTGCAGTGAAACTCTCCACCCGGAGCGTTTGGAATCGCCGTTTTGTTTGTCCCACTGCCCTGGCCCAAACGCTGTTTCCCTGGAATCTCCTGTCCTGGCTCACTGTCCAAGTCCCGTTCAATCAGATGAATATGCCAATCTGCCTTCTCAAGTCTCAGACTGCTGGTTCAACAGGGCACCCAGACCAGTGTGCTTTGTGCGGAGTGCTGTGGAGTGCCACTGCGCTGTAGCGCCAGCCACTGGCTGTACCGGCCGCTGGCTGCACCGCTGCGCTGGCATCCCATGTCTCTTTTATACCTGGGAATTTCCCCATTCTGTGGGCTACAAAGATCCATCTGGAAATGCGGCCCTGAGTCACCCTCTGCGCGTTCACCGAGAGCTTCAATCCTGGGTTGTCCTCACCGCACCATCTTCTCTTTCTCTATTTTTTCGCAGTTTTTAAATTTTTTTCAAAAACTTTCATGATGAGGCCATGTACAGTGGCTCATGCCTATAATTCCAGCATTTTGAGAGGCCAAGGCAGGTGGATCATGAGGTCAGGAGTTCAAGATCAGCATCGCCAACATAGTGAAACCCTGTCACTCCTAAAAATACAAAAATTAGTCAGGTGTGGTGGCATGTGCCTGTAGTCCCAGCTACTCGGTAAGCTGAGGTGGGAGAATCGCTTGAACCCAGGAGGCGAAGGTTGCAGTGAGCCAAGACCACGCCACTGCACTTTAGCCTGGGTGACAGATTGAGACACTGTCTCAAAAAAAAAAAAAACTTTCATGATGAATATTTATTGTTTCAATGAAAGAAAACTCACAATATGCTTTATTTACACAAGAAACAATGCTAGTAATCTCTAGCCCTAAAAGTTCTATTGAGAATCTCCAAAATGTTTTTATTTTTCTCTAATTAGTATTTAATTCTATAGATTTGTTTAAAACTACTATTTTACGTGTGTAGGTCCTTGTATCTATTCGTTCTATATGACCTATGTTCATGATTGCATTCCTGTCATTTTCCTCTTGCTCTGAATACAGACAATCTAACTCCAGAACCAAACTCATGAGTGTGTGGCAGCACCAATGGAAGCCCACAGAGTGTCACAGGGAGGCCCTGAAAGAGAACCTCTCACTGTGTGTTTCCAACTTTAAAGACAGAGTATTACAATGACTCAGGCTAGGTTCAAGAAGTGGTGAAGGGCAGTTGTCAGCTAAGATGCATGGAAGTACACCTAAAGAAAGTAATATACAGCTGAGTGCAGTGGCTCACACCTGTAATACCAGCACCTTGGAAGGCCAAGGTAGGCAGATCACAAGGTCAGGAGTTCAAGACCAGCCTGGCCAATATGGTAAAACCCCATTTCTACTAAAAAATACAAAAATTAGACAGGCGTGGTGGCACATGCCTATAGTCTCAGCTACTTGAGAGGCTGAGGCAGGAGAACTGCTTGAACCCAGGAGGCAGGAGTTGCAGTGAGCCAAGATCATGCCATTGCACTCCAGCCTGGGCAACAGAGTGAGATTCCATCTCAAAAAAAAAAAAACAGCAATATACATAGTACAACTCAATGGATTCTTTTTACTACTGTTGATGATGTAAAGGAGCCACTCTATCAAAGACCATCTGTAAATGATTAATTGCATTTTTTTCTGTTCTTAAATATTAAATAATCTCATTTAATTGGTATAATTCTGGCAAAACATGAGCGCTAGATTTGTGTTAAATTTGCTTCCTCGACTAAGTAAACAATCCCACAATCACCTTCCAGAAACTTCTCTGTTAACAGCCACACAACTAGCATGAACTCTGCTATTGTTCCTCTCCTACTCTCATTTCCTCTCTAGTACCCTTTGCCTACATCTTTACATTTTTAAATCTCCAGTAAATCTTTAGCATTTTTAGGGAAGATGCAATTACCCTCCCTCTTCTTTATAGCACATATTATTACAATTGCAATTTCACTTTTAATTTTTGTGATGACTTCCTTAATGTCATTTAGCTGTGAGTTCCAACTGAATATCCCTGAGGACAGAGAGCATTTTTTAATTGCTGTACCCTCGGTGCTTAGAACAGTACTTTAATATAGTAGAAAGTTAATAAACACTGTCCACAGCTTGTCAGGAGTGCTAGGAGGGAGACAGTATTAACCATGTTTTTATTTTCTGTAGCCTCAGACTTCAACATCTTGGGTCTTGCTGACTGTGGAAGGGACTGGCACTCCCAGGGTTAGCCAAAAGCTAGAGGTAAAACAACTTAGCTAAAGAGAAAAGTATGTCTATCAAATGCGAACCCCCCTCCACCCCTAGTGCCCATACTCCCAATGTCTATCAGCTCACACATTCCAGGCCACTACCCCCTGTCCTAATCACCCAGACAACTAAGGACAGGTACCAGACAACTAAGAACAGCCTTATGCCCCAGAGCTCCCCTGAGGTTATTCAAACCAGCTGATCCTAAATACACCTACCTTGCCTTGCTGTTCCTCCCCATACAATAAAGGTTCTTGCCCACATCTCCCCTACCTTCCATGGTCTCCTGACGGCTGCCCCTGGTAGCCCCTCATGGTATGGCATGCGCTCTTCTCTTGGGATCTGTGAGAAGAACAAATTCTGTTTCCAATGGCAGTCACCTAATCTATCCGCCTTGTCCTACCTACATAATAATTAAATCTATATTTTGAAGTGAAACTTTTTAGCATCCAAGTAAGAGTGTGAGGGGTACAAGTGAGCCGCTGACATCAGAGAATGCCAGGCACACTGGGAATCACAGGAGGCAAGGGCTGGACTTCTGAGTGACCTGTCCCTCCTCAACTAGACTTCGTCTTGAAACAACCCTTTCTTGTTTCAAAAGGGAGGCTCTATCTAACAAAAAAGAGGAGAGAACTACTGGAAGATGAAGGCTTAAGCAGAATTTCGCTTCCCTCCACTCCCAATTCCATTTCATTTTCTAACGTTTCTTAAGCCAGGCAGGCTACTATAGTGTGCAGGAGAATTAGGGCTCTGCCAGAGTCCCCACGAAGCTGATGAAGAACTTTCCCTTTGTTGGGCCAGATGCAGAACCACAAGGGAAAAGGTGACTTCAGCCAGTATGAATGTGCCCGATCGCATTGTTCTCCAGGGATCCAAGACCAAGCTAAACAGAAACACTGAACTCCTTATCCCTAATTCTGGAGGTGATAAAGTGAGAGGCTTTCTCTCAGGGTCTCGATGTGGCACTGAAAACGTATTTGTTGCTATGCTGCGAGACCACTCGAGAGGCTACTACTCCTAAGAGACCCTGATAGATGGATACAAGATTACAGTAAATCTCTAGCAGCACATGTCTGTAATCCCAGCTACTCAGAAGGCTGAGGCAGGAGGATCACCTGAGCCAGGAAGTTGAACACCAGACTGGGTAACATACTAAAACTCCATTTCAAAAAAAAACAGAAGAAAAAAATTTTTAATTATTATCAAAGGTGAATATAGTCATTGTTAAGGCCTTAATTAGAGGCCTAAGAGATGAAGTGGAAGAAAATTCCTGAAGTACACAGCAAAAATACATGATTTCTATCAGGAGGAAAATAGCAAGATACTTGGTACATAGATCTGGGCAACCCAACATTTGAATACTATGAGTTCCAAAAAAAAAAAAAAAGATGAATGAGAGGCTATACTAAACAAATACTATAATAAAATTTCCAGGAGCAAAAGAAATGTTTGAGTCTCAGATTGAAATGGCTAACCAAGTTCCAGAAAGGTTTGATAATTGAAAATAGACATTAATTCATGATTTCTAAAAATAAAATGAAAAATCTTAAAAGTTTTCAGACAGAATAATCTACTTACATAGGCAAAAGAATGAGACTGGGGCCGGGCGCGGTGGCTCAAGCCTGTAATCCCAGCACTTTGGGAGGCCAAGGTGGGTGGATCACGAGGTCAACAGATCGAGACCATCTTGGTCAACATGGTGAAACCCCGTCTCTGCTAAAATTACAAAAAATTAGCTGGGCACGGTGGTGCATGCCTGTAATCCCAGCTGCTCAGGAGGCTGAGGCAGGAGAATTGCCTGAACCCAGGAGGCGGAGGTTGCAGTGAGCCAAGATCGCGCCATTGTACTCCAGCCTGGATAACAAGAGTGAAACTCCGTCTCAAAAAAAAAAAAAAAAAGAATGAGACTGAAATCAGACTTTTCACCTGCAACACGTGGAATTGAAATAACATTTATGGATTACTGAGAGAAAAGGAGTGGAACTCAAGGCCTAGTCTTAGCAGGTATGATTCACCAATCACCACTATGGATTCAGGGATTACATCTACCAGTTACTCATTGTAAGAATAATATGTGAAAAAACAGACCAATCAAAAAAATATCATAACAGGAATCTCAAGACAGAAGAAGATGAAAAACTGCCAGAACAGCAGTAAGCAGTGAACCTACTGGGACAGACAGTGAAACTCAATAAAGAGTAATAGACTTTGGTAATAAAATTACACTACAATTGCAAAATATATTTATATTATTTGCTTTAATCTTGAAGTTTCTAGTAAATACTGTACAAAAAAAGAATTATTCCATTGGTTTAAACATTGAAAAGAAAAATTTTGCTGATTATTCTATTGTATACCAAGAAAATTAATCCAAGAAACTCCAGTGGAATAAACAAAAAACTACTGCCAGGCATGGTGGCTCGTTCCTGTCAGCCCAGCACTTTGGGAGGCTGAGGCAGGAGGATCACTTGAGTCCAGGAGTTGGAGATCAGCCTGGGCAATATGAAAAAACTCTATCTCTACAAAAAATACAAAAATGAGCCAGGCCTGGTAGCACGTACCTGTAGTCCCAGGTTGTTGGAAGGCTGAAGTGAGCAATTATCACACCACTGCATTCCAGCCTGGGCAAGAGAGAGAGAGAGAGAGAGAGAGAGAGAGAGAGAGAGAGAAAGCCCGCTATAATTAATAAGATAATTTAGTAAATTTAAAATTTCAACATAAAATAAAGTTTAAAATAGCTTTTCTTTATAGTAACAAGAAGCCAATAGAAATGAAATCATATTCCAGTTATTAACATTAGTGTTGAGATTAAAAAATATAAAGGCTGCACACATACATATACACACTCACAAAACCAACTCACTGCCACAAATACAAAACTTCCAATTAAGTAAGAGGCATTTGTCATCAGGTAGTAGATTATGGGTTATGCTTAATTTCTTTTTGATACATTTGTGTGCTATTTGTGTAATTAGCATGGTTTTTAAATGGTGCCTCCAAAATGAGCTGCAGTCACCTGGGAGGAGGGAGGACAATGGCAGATGGGGAGTGGTGACTATGGTACAGTAAAAGATGGAACAAAGTGTCAAGAGAGACAATATAGGAACTTTCATTTGTAACTTCTCATCTCTATGTTAGAGAAATATGGATCACTTACAGCCAGCCAACTATCTTGAGAGTTCCACCAGAGAGAGGGGCGATAGTGAGTGTCATCCTTTTTCACTTGTTCAGTTTCAGCATATTAGGTTGCTTTATACTTCATGTCTGCCTCATTAAGTGGATTTGCAAATTTTGTTATTTCAAATGATAGAATACTTTGTAATGAGATAGTGAGTAACCATAATACCTTTTTTTGTACGACAAAGATATTCACTGTTAATTACCTAGCAAAGTGTTTTATTTTAATGGTGTGGACCTCAATTATATATATTTCTCACTTTCCAAAATGATATAAAATAAAAAACAAGTATCTTAAATTGACTGATATTTTCTGTGATGAAAAGTGATGAACAGTGTTCTGTTACCTAGCAACTATTAAAAGCAAATACAAACATTATCTGTACCTTCAAGGTAAATAGGACACTTTAACACTGAGTTAGAAAGTAACTGCTTTTAGAAAGAAATCTATGAAATAGATAACATCGTCTGATTCATTTGCCGGAACATCACTGATGCAGAATTGACATAAAGTAGGTGGGAATTTACGAGCCAAATTTCAATGCAAACCATTGTATAATTGGCTGATGGAGGAAAATGTACTAGTGTCTAGAAGTGCTTCCGAGTTTCTGCCTGGCAGAAGGATTTTTTAATAAATGTCTGTTAAATAAATGAATATACAACAACAGAGAGTCATAGTTTTTCTGTATTTCCTATAATGTCTCAGTCCTAGAACTTTATTCATTTTAGGTGCTCAATAAATTCTTAGAGTTGGGCAATCAAAGATTGTCAGAGTTGAATGGGTTATTGGATTTTTTTCCAGAGAAATTAAATGACTTTCTCAGGAGCATAACTCATCTACATCTCACGAAAGACCTGAGGAGTCTGGGTGTTGATTTCAAAATACATAAATATTTTTCTAGTCTCTGTTATTCCTTGGAGAGATCATTGATGTTCTGAAAGAGCACAGGTTTTGACATTAAATTCTTGGACCAGGTTCTAGTCTTTACGTGACCCTACCAGTTATCAGCTGTGCAACCTTTAGCAGGTCATGTACCTTCTGAACCTGTTTCCCAAAATAAGGAAAGGTGAAACTGTTATTGATCTTACCCGTATTCATGCAGCATATACACTCCAAATAACAACATAAATTTAGGTTTTGGTTACTGTTATTTCTCAATTGCTTGCTTCCTTCAGATGACTGTTCCCCAGACTGTGCTCTGAGGAGCTGGCAGCCCAAGTGAGAGAGAACTAATTGGGTTTCCTATAGGGAGGCCTGGACTTTACTACAGGAGAAGGCTAGGTTCTTCTGCTTCTTTCTCTATGCTCCATGTATCTTTCAACTGTAAGTGGATTTTCTTCTCTTAATATTAGTTTGGCTATTTTACCCTGGACAAATCCCCCTGGCTATGTCTGTGTGTATAACCCAGGCTTTCTCAAAGAAAGACGGTACCCTTCTGAACTAGAGAAAATATGCTTTGAGAGTGGCTCTAAACTATCAGTGTTATCACCTCCTGTCTTGTTTGTTCTATGGCAAATTCTAAGGTGTCTCATTTTTATTTTTGTTCACTTCTTCATCTCCCACCCTGGAAGAGCTCGCCAACACCTCCCGCTTCATCAAAATTGCTTTCTGATCATAGAAAAGCATTTATTCCATGGTGAATTCCTCAGTCGTTCACATCTTTCCAAACAGATAGTTCTCTCTGCTGCTTCTCAACTTCAGAGAGTATCTTCAATCCATCTGAGCAAGCTGTACTTCCTATCATTCACAAGTGCTTCTATTTCAGGTAACTGTAGGAGACAATTTACTGAGTACCTATCCTTGGAGTTTAGAGATGAAAACAGTACAGTCTCTCATCCCTAAGTAGTTCGCAGACTAGACCCAGATGGAAATAATCTCATGGCAGTGTGAAAAATGCCTCCGTAGAGGAATGGGTCAGAGGCTTTTGTATTCGATTATTTCTATCTGCCTTGTTTCAGAAAAGATTCACGTTTTTCCATGTTGATATAACATATACATGCCTCCTCAAAATTTAATGTCTGTCTTAGTTCATTTACATTTATCTCATTTTGGAACATCTCTTGGATCATTTTAAGACATTCTACCTATGATTCAAGCGGACACTGAGCCAGAGGTAGAGAAAAGACAGCCCATATTTAGAAGAAACTTTGGTGAAACCAGAAGGAATCAAGAAAGAGGCACCAATGGCTGCTGGGACAGCCTGGCAATATGGTGATGGCATTAAAGCTGTTTAGACTGAAGAAGAAAATTCTGAGGGTACAAGATAGCTGGTACTTGAGTTTCCTGGTGCTACACTAAAAAACTGACCAAAAATATCAGCCAAAAACAATAGCCATTTATTTACACACAGTTGTGTAGTTCAGAAGTCAGTGCTAACAAAGCTTGGTCTTTTTTTTTTTTTAAATAAAGACAGGGTTTCACCATGTTGGTCAGGCTGGTCTTGAACCCCTGACCTCAGGTGATTCGCCTGCCTTGGCCTCCAAAGTGCTTGGATTACGGGCGTGAGCCACTACGGTCTCACCATGAAGGCGTAAGGTGGGTTGACTTTCTTTTATAGGATAGGGGAAGATCCCCCTTCCAAGCTCAAGCAGGTTGTTGGCAGAATTCAGTTCTTTTTGGCTGTATGCTTGAAATTCTGATTTCCAGCTGGCTGACAGCTCTTAGAAACTGCTCTTAAATCCTTATGAATTGGCCCCCTCCATAATTCAAAGCTAGAAACAGACAATCTCCTTTACATGGAAAGTGTTTCATGCTTCAAATCTCTGACTTCAGCAAAAAATCCAATCCCTTTAAAGGTTAATCCAGCCCCAAGAAGGATAATCTCCTTTTCTGAAATCACCTGTGCCTTGCAGAATAACCTAATCAAGGGAGTGCTATCCCATCATATTCACAGTTCATGCCCACACTCGAGAGGAGAGCATTATACAGGACATGTACAGGAGGAGGAGGGAAACTTGGGGACCACCTTGGCATGCCACAGAGACAGCAGGGCTCCTCTTTTGGTGTGGAGAGTACCATGGGCCTTATAGACATTAGAAGAGGAAGAGTAGGTAATCACAGACAAAGGGACAAGTGGGTTAGGCTCCGAGAGACAGAGTGATGAACCAGGGAAGGGCTGGTAGTATAGGAAATGACCACGCACGCCACAACCTCTCCTCAAACCAGCCGGTGTGCTCCTGTTCAAGCAAACATTTTCAAATGGTTACAGCTCTCCTTCCAAGACAAAAGGAGGGAAGCCTTGGGATCCCCACCGTGACAATCCAAGTGTCCTAACAGGAAACAACGTTAAATTTGAAGCTGAAAGTGTATGTAAGCCTTGGTGCCTAATCAAAATTGGACAAATTTAGGTCAAAAAAAAGCAATTTGGAAAAAAGTAAAAACTATTGTTACAATGCACTTTTTCCTAACCTCCCCTTGGCTAGGAGAAGAGAGTAAGAAAAGACTGTTCTTTGGCTCAATAAATCATTGCACTAAAGAGAGTAATAGCTAAAAATGTCCAAGGTCTTTATAATGTGTTAGGTCCCATGCTAAGCACTTTGCAGATATTTTAATTTCAGAAACAGTTTAATGAAGCAGGCACATCTTAGATGACGACATACATACTGACAAACATATGTACCACTTGCTCAAAATTAGAGCAGTCCAGCAAGAGCCCCTCCCAGGGTCCTTCCTACCTTGTGTGGCCTGAACTTCCGAGGGAGTGGGAAAGGAACCTTAAATATGTTTGAGAGACTGTTGTGGAGATGAGCGGGTAGACTTGTTTTGCTCAGCTCCAGAAGTATTGGTGTGCGGGTACAGTTTAACAACCAACTCTTTCCAAAGATTTCCTGATTCATAGCAATTGCAGATTTCCTCTGTATAAATACTCCTACTGTGGGTGATATCAAGCCCCAACCTGATTATTACCAAATGTGGATCTAGAAAGAGAGGCAATTTCAGCCTGGCAGGTAAAAACATTTGAAATCAGATTTTTACTGATGCGTTGGAGAATTTTCAAACAAGTAAAGCTGTGCAATGGAATTGACTTGCTCAAAAACCAGGGGTTCCCAAGACTGTAGGTAAATTGAAGCAGACTTTGACACTGTCAGAAAAAAACTTGTAAAACTAAACCTTGTACTGGAAGATTACGAACATAGGATGTAAAAATAAAAGGGTTAAAGATATCTGGCAATTCCCTGTGCCTTCTGCAGTATCTATGGCAGAGTCTCTTATCTGCAGGAAGAACATTTTTCCGTGAGCTACTAGCTTCTTAAGCTGAGGAATGGCACCTGCAGATCTCCCCTTGTTAATGACCTCAGACCAATGCCAAGGGGGCAGCTCTGCTGTTTTCTGCCTCTAGAATCACCAGTCACTCTCACCTTTTTCTATTTCAACATTACAGGCTGGGACCTTTCACATAGTCTTTGTAAAAATCACATTCTTGGCAATTTTCTTCACCATTAT